GCAACAGAAATACAGAACAGAATTTCCACTCAAGCACACAGAGCGAAGTCCGGCTTCAAGGTAAGCGTCTGGTCAAGCTTGTTTGAGTGTGTTATGCCTGTCGGTGGACTCGAAGCTCCGTAACGAGGGTACATCTGGCAAGGCCAAGAGACTTAGAGTGTACTGGCCGATTACATATCGGAAGGTTTACGTGACGGCTTTATTGTGCCTCTTTGCACGGTTGGGAGAGCTTGTAGTGCCTACCGTATATTCTTCCAGTCGAGTGTTGAACACTCGGCGCCCTCGTAAAAGGCTTACCCGTGCCTGGTACCCTTCCGCTGTTGGGACCACGAGGATTCAAAACACCTGCTAGCTTTGCTCGTGCTAGTAGTGTGTTATCAATTTCACTGGTTGGCCAATATAGGTGGTTTGCAAGGTCCAGTCTGTCCCGGTGCAAGGGCAGAACTGAGGTCTTCAGGTCGGCCCGAACGATAGTTTGCCGTTTTGGTAGTCGTCTTGTTGTGGGAGCTACCTATCTACACTAGTAGCTAGCGTTCACGTGGGATTTCCAACACCACAAAGAACTTGACTGATTATTTGGCTTCGAACCAAAAACGACTGGAAATGGATAGCCTTCCGCTGCTGACCGACTACGACGATATCTCCGCCGAAGTGGATGGTCAGGGAACAGCGTCAGCGGATGTTGTTGAACTAGAGATTAACGCGTACCCACAAAACGAACTCGAGCACGTCGCAAAGCAGGCAAGACAGCTGAGCAAGAACCTGAGACAGATTTTGACCAAGTCATTGCTGCTGTGAACGGACCGATTGGAGGAGAGAAACTATTCTTTCTGGATGGACCGGGCTGGACAGGGAAATCGTTTCTGCTCGAGCAAATACCGGCTCGTTCGCATAGAACGTAAGGTTGCCATCGCTGTTGCTTCGAGTGGAATTGCAGCTACCCTGCTAACCGGAGGACATACTGCGCATTCGACGTTCAAGATTCCCTTCAAACTTACAGAGACTTCGACATGCAGCCTTTCCTGGCAAAGCCAGAAATCTGAGTTAATTCGAAGCGCGAGTTTAACCATCTGGGATGAAGCACCAAGGGTAAATCGAGCTTGCTTTGAGGCAGTGAACAGGTCGTTTCGGAAAATCATGAAGAACGAACTGGAACCGTTTGGCGGAAAGGTAATGGTGTTCAGCGGAGGCCACCGCCAGATTTTACCGGTACAAAAGGATGCTACGGAGACGATCAAAGCTTGCTTCAAA